AGAGTAACTGCTTGTTGTTCTCAGGTAAGGGTAAGAATACAACAACAGAACATATAATACATACAAGTACAACTATGGTCGTAACCACAGATCAAAAAAAGACATAGATACATAATTTATACCTATGTGGTTTGAAGCCAAAATAGTTCATGGGAGGGGTGAGGAAGTTGTATTTACATTCCCTCATAGGCAGTGGCGTATCATTTTATAGGGGCTGATTGCAACAAAAATAACATGTTTAATAATTATAATTGTAAATTTTATTTTCCGCAGATAACTAGTAATATGGGAAAATATGGTGCCATTAATAGGTATGCTAAGAAAGCCTGTTTTATTTCTTAAGGTATCTATGACATTATTTAACTTTTCTTCTACCTATTTGATTACTTATGAACTTCATAGTCCCCTACATTTACTTCTTCCTGGAATACGGTGGAGATGATCTACTGACACAATTTTACTCTCATTTATATGTATACAAAAGGAATGATTCATTTCATCATACTCTTAAGCTGGGAATAAATATGATTTTCACAAGATTTTAACAAAACAAAGTAATTAAATTCCATTTGGGTAGGTATACCCTAGTTTTAATTTTAATAGCTGTATGACACGGTGTAAAATTTGGTATCAACTCTTACATAGAATTTATAAAATTTGTATATAGGAAACTAAAAGATTGACCATATTTTAAAATTATAATTCATTTTATAGAGTCGGTCCATTAGCCCTTCCTATCACAAACACATATGTGTGAATTTATATAGAAAACTAAAAATTAGAACAGGTTTAAATATATATTTTATATAGAATTACGTGTAGATTTTTACATTGCGTGTTACGGCTATATTACTGGAGTTAAAGTTTGTCCCTAATAAAGCTGTTAATTGGTTTATTTCTAGGTTGTCCCTATCGAATGAATGTTATGAATGAAAAAAGACAACCATATTACTCAAATAGAAATTTATTGATTATAAAATCAAATATTTTTTGTTAACTTATGCCTTATCCTAAGAATATTATCTTGCATTTTATTACAAAAGTGGTTAGAGCATACATAGGTATATTGTTTCTGTATATGGAATTCCTAAGCTTCTAAACCAGTGTCTTCTAATTAAAAGATTTTTCGGGAAATCTGTAACATATAAAAAAATCGATTAAATTTTTTAAGCCATTGTTTATATTTACTAATGCTTTTTAGCACTTAAATTTTGTCAAAGCGAAATATTTAAATTTAACCCCAACAGCTTGTTTTATTGCTACGTCTATGATTATTATTACTTACTTATGGAACGATCGTTGATTTTCTTTCATTTGGTACATATTGCAAATACGGCACTTCTTCGGCATTGTTCAACACTTTTTTCACTGGAAAAAATCTTACTAACAAGCACGAAATCATTAAAAACGCAATAACATTAGATTACACTACGAAGCACAACAATGGCGAATTCGATTTTTCTGGCAAATGTCAAAATGTGAGCGTAAAAGTGGCGCGAAACTTAAATGAACCAATCACAACACGGGAAATAGTAAATATAAACATGAATCATTTGAGATTCAAACAAATACCCTGAATTATTTATCTATGTCTTTTCTTGATCTGTGGTCGTAACAATCTAGTATTGTCTGATTGTCTCTAAATCTAGTAGCTGCAACATGGGAAAAATTTGAGCTCACTTTGATCTTGACACATGTAATTTAGCTACTACTCAACAGATGGCAGCAATAAGTGCTAAAGGTTAAAGTTCCTAGGATCTAGGCATTTTACTAAAGACTTCCAAATCCAAACAGTTTACAGAATGCACAGCTTAAATATACGGGTCACAGTTCGCAGTAAAATCTAGAAACTCGGTCGAACTAGATTTAAATTCAAAAATAATTCTCTGACAATAAATAAATACTTCATTTCTGTAATAATTAGTTAACTAAGGCAAATATATATTATTATAAAACTAGATTATTTTGCCTATGGTACAACTGACAACAAACAACAACTTTACTATTAGCACAGATTACTCTTCTACATATAAATATAGTATTCTAACATTCGATTTGTACAGATTGCCGACACTGGTAAAAACTCGAAATAGCCCAAATTGGCGACTGGCTATTTTTGCTTTTTTTTCAAGTAGCCGAAAGTCATCTGAGATAGCCCAATTGGCGATAAGTAGCCCAATCTAACAACCCTGTGGAAAACCACGGGGAAGACGCAGCAACCAGGCTTGGTGCTTGGTGGAGACAACGGGGATCGTGTAGGTGTGGAGTACGGCTCCCAGGGCGACACGTGCTGATTACATAACCAGGTGTACAACCTGATCGGAGGGACTCGAACGCGGTACACGCCTACTACTAACTTACTTGCCCTGTGGATATTTAAACCACGGTATACCTAACTGCAATAATAAAAAAGATCGGCAATTAATACTTACGGAGCAACCTCCGGCGAGTTGACAGTTTTTAGTTGACTATTAGGAAAGCTATTGGATGCTGGTGATGTAATGTACGATGTACAGTTCAAAATATCAGCATCGAGGCTACTCTAATAATTCTGTTGCAATTTTACTACGGCACAGGTTGAATGAACGATTTCACGTACTTATTTCTGACCCGCGTTTCAAGAAGTTCTGTCCGTTTCTCTGTTTCTTTTTCGAATTTAATATTCGCCCTACTCCGCGTGAAGCGCGCACGACCGGACTTTGATAGTTATAAAAACTAGATATCTGATTGTGTTCCTACCCGATACAGGATGGTATAAAATTTCCTAGCCAAGGATACTGGGACACAACAATAAATATGTATTTTATTAAGGTGTCTTATTTGAATGCTACAGTATTCATATGGTTTTGGGGTCGCTGAATCCGATACTGGTGTCCGTTTGACACGATTAGCTCTGGTTTAGTCAGTTCAAGGTCAAATGTAGAAAATCAATTGTCAACAAACTACCTACGACGTATCTATACGTTTTTGGGGTCACAGAAACCGAATCAAATGTAGAGAATCAATTGCCAACAAAGAAAATCTATATATCTATAAGTTTTTGAGGTCTCCGAATCCGAATCTGGTGTTCGTTTGACTCAATCAGATCTGGGTTGAGGTCAGTTCAAGGTCAAATGTAGAGAATCAATTGAAAACAAAGGAAACCTACATATCTATATGTTTTTGGAGTCGTTGAATCCGCATCTGATGTCCGTTTGATACAATCAGATCCGGGTTGAGGTCAGTTCAGGTCTATTAAACATTTTCTAATAGAAAAAGATCAAACAACATACGAAAGATGCTTTAAAAAATTTTTTGGTTTTGAACCTCAAAGTGAATAACTTGACTGGGTTTGAGCAGAGAGAAAGGTTTCTTCAAGATATTAAAGAAGGAGGAATTTTGGGTGGCAATGAAACTATCACTGATAGTGCTAGTGATACTAGTGATGACGAATATATTCCATATCACATTGTGAAAAAGACAGGTAGGTACAATATCAAAAGAAAAAGTAAATGATGTTTGAGATTTGGGCTTGGCAGAGGATGGAACAGAGTTCCATCATGGCTAAAAAAAATACTAAGCAAGCCGGAAAAGTGGAAGCTATTTACTATCGGTACAAAAATAAGGAATATTTTTCTAATGATGAAGCATTTTCCTTAGGTTACTGCAATGATATCGTTGGATTGATAAGTCACTTAAAACATGGATGTTATAAACCTAACGAGTAGAGTGGACTGTTCATTGATTCGACAAAGAGAAGCATCAAAGCTATTCTACTGCATAAAACAAAAATCCAAAATTTTGCATTTATTCGCAAAAAACCAAAAACAAATCTTCATGTCACAGAATAACAAAGCTATAAAATAAAAGAAATTCTCACTTTATAAAAAATATTGCCACTACATTTTTAATGTTAACATGAATCAGATACTGTTAGTTGAAAGCCAACATTGCTACCGTTTCTACATTTTCTTCCAACAGCCTGGTCCTTCTGCCCGTGAGGACAATGTTGTAAGTGCTGAAAAATCACTCCGCATCAATACTATTTACAAGACTACATAATTTTTTTTTTAATTGCCGCTTTTGGAAAATTTAGATTAATGTATTTAGTTGCCCATAAAACCTGAAGAACATTGGGAGTGTCTGTTTTATCTGCTACAAGAGTTGTTGATGAAAGTGACTATATTCACCAATAAGCATATCTTGCAGGAAATTTTTTTAAAAACAGAATTTTGCAAAAATTTACGACTAAGAACTCTTTCTAAGGGCGATAGCTATAGAAATAGTGTACCAATGAGTGTTGGTATTAATACAATATAAGAGTAAAATTTTAATTTTCATACATCTACACAAAAAATAGTTGCATATTTAAAATATTTCAAATATTTATAAATATTTCAGAAAGTAGGCAAAGTACAATTTAATCAGTAAAAAAAGTATGTAATTTCTTTGTAGTAATAAGTACCCCTTGACTTTTTTAGTAGTATATTTTGTATAACTTCATTGCCTTACAAAAAGTGAAATATACATCTACATATTACAAAATATGTCATAACTTGTCATTGTTACTCAATGCCTGGAACAAAGCATTGCTCTATATCTACTGGCAGAGAGTGACCTTTTAATTTGTAGTTACTATGAAAGCGTTATTAGTGTCACACAAGTGTAAAAAAACTTTTTTGCTAATGGTATTGTGAGAAACAACCACATACATGGTTATTATACTGCGAATGATCTTGGCTGTTTCATGGATACTGCGAATAGAATTCGGTGCTGAACGGAGCATGCAGCCCGCATAAAAGGTCGTTTCTCACAAAATTATTTGTGATTTTTTATACGTTATAAAAATGGAAATAATAACAATATAAAAACAAAAAATAAAGGTGTTCAATAAAATTTATTATAACAAACTCATTTTTAATTTCTAATGAAATTCCAATGCTTATTCCAGAGGATCGTTACATGAATAAAATTTGTCTCCATCAATATTGTAAAATATATACAAACATTTTAAATATTCGTCAATTTAAGAATGGTTCCTCACTTCAAATACCTAAAACAATTTTATACATTTCAGTGGCGATTACCATTAGTGTAAAAAGTTACTTAGTAGTAATGCAATATTTTACAAGAGATAATTAAATTAGGAAAAGAAAATGTGACACGCATATTTTCATTTTTATGCGAAATGCTCACTATGCACAGGTGTTGTCAAACAAATTTTTACAATCTATTTTTTTGTGTTTAGTGATTATTATTTATAAATAAATAACAGAACAAATATAAAGAACATGTAACTTATAAACAAACATTCTGAGAGTAATGCAGATTTATAGAAAAATAAAAAGAACGTAAAATATATACCTGGGGTCGGCAAGTAATTTTAGGTGGGGTCCGGATACTTTTGAAAATTTTTAATGTGGTCCAGAAAAAAAATTCATATTTCTTACTAATTTTTTATTTTAATTTAGACTCAAATTTAATCTGCTTAGTAACCATGAAGAACTTAAATCAGTTACACAATTGTAAAGTATTAGAAAAAATTAGAAGGGTGGCATTCAAACGTAAACAAATATTTTTTAAATAATCTATCATAAAAAATTTTTTGGCGGTCCAGTATTTTACCTTTCGTGGTCCGGACTTGAACCGCGGTACGCCAGTTGCCGACCACTGATATACGAGGGGGATCTGAAAAGTTTCCGACCTAAAAAAGAAACATTTTTTCAAAAAAAAAAAATTTATTTTTCAACGTAGTCTCCTTGTAACTTTACACAGTTCTGCCAACGATGCTCCCATCTCTGTAACCCGTCCAAATAATACTCGGCGTTTTTCTCTGCAAAATAATTGTTCACGAAGGTGATTGCCTCTTCAGTTGATGAAAATCTCTGTCCTCTGAGTGCAATTTTTAGATGAGGGAACAAAGAGAAGTAGCTTGGAGCTAGATCTGGTGAGTAAGGCGGATGGTCAAGCAGTTCAAACCGTAATTCATGGATTTTCGCCATGGCAACCGCTGAGGTGTAAGACAGTGCGTTGTCTTGGTGAAACAGGATTTTCTGCAAATGTGGCCGTTTTTCCGCAAGTTCTGCCTTCAGCTTGTCAAGTAATGATGCGTAGTATGCTCCTGCAATGGTTTTTCCTTTTTGAAGATAATCGATTAAAATTACTCCATGACTATCCCAAAAAACAGTCGCCATCACTTTCCCAGCCGAAAAAACAGTTTTTGCTTTTTTTGGAGCCGGTTCCCCCTTTGCAGTTCACTGTTTGGACTTTATTTTTGTTTCAGGCGTATAATGGTGTATCCAAGTTTCATCTACAGTAGTTAATCGGCGCCAAAACTCGGATTTATTGCGCCTAATCTGCGCCAACAGAGCGTTGGAATTGTTCATTCGAACACGTTTTTGGTCTAACGTGAGCAAACGCGGCACCCAATGAACGGACAGCTTTCTCATGTTTAAACGTTGATTTAATGTGTGACAAACACGTTCTCTTGACATGTTCATAACCTCTGCTATCTCTCTCACTTTAATTCGGCAGTCGTCTCCCAAGCTCTTACGGCCACGTATAAATTCAGCTGCCCAAAATTTCACTGTGGTAAATGATGGTGCAGAGTCTCCATACACAGAATCCAACTCATCTTTGATTTGCATGGGCGTATTGCCTTTCAAAAACAAATATTTAATGACAGCTCGATACTCGATTTTGTCCATTTTCATAAAAACACTCACATCAACTCACTCAAACGACTGTTACATAACAACTGCGCGTCCAAAATGGCTGAAACTTTGGTGAGTAAATGTCAACAGATGAACAACGAAATTCACTAGCTTTTATTTACGAGTGCTGCCATCTTCATGTTGAGGTCGGAAACTTTTCAGACCACCCTCATATACTATAAAAAATGAAGCCAAAAACAAAATGCAAACAAAATGATTTGTTAAGAATTATCTTTTAGGATTATTACTTTCAATAACTTCTTATGCCTCTTTTGATATCAATGAACCAGAAACCTACACCTAAAATTCCAAAACAAGCTTATTTTTGCCTAACCACAACCTCTTCCGAGGTACGTCTATAATGGCGATAGCTCAACTACAGTGCTCAAACCTTTGCCTCAGTAGTAACAAACCCATATTTCAGCCGATACCTACATATGTGACGTGAGCACCTCTGCATACCTGCCCATACCAACAGTGTCGATGTGAGCGGAAAACTTATTAAAAGATCAGTTATAATTAAGAACTAATGTTTGTATATTGTAATAACAGATATCAATTTTCTAAAAAAAAAAACTTACCGTAAGTTTTTAATATCTAATAATGGGTCGACCATGTCAAATACATTGTAATACCTAGAGCTTCTCCTTGCTATATCAGTAGCAGTTTCTCCACTGTTATTCTTAATAGTAGGGTCTATGTAAGGATGCATAAGCAGTAGCTGAACTGTATCACATGAAGCGCCATGAGAAGCGGCAATATGTAATGGTGTCTGATCTGTAATAACATAAAATTTGTTTAAAAAACAAATTATAAATTACAATCACACTACGTTATAATGAAGGGAACATAATCGTCAAATAAGTTGTTTTCCATAATTTTTAAACAATATTTAAAACAAATCTCAAAACTTCACCAACGGGAGATATAATTTGATGAATGCACATTTTGCAGAGTTGAATTCAAACACTCACTCCTAGTGTATTTTACAATGTACACTTAGGCGTTTGGCCATATGACCTAAACTACTGCATATAATATATATTTCATAGCTTATGATCTAACAATAGTATAAATAAAAACTATTCCACTTATTAATATACATATATTTCCTACATATAACGAGGTAAGTAGGTAATGAGAAATATACGTACTTCCTTCTGTTGTAGCATTTATATCTGCACCATTTTGTATTAAGACAGCTGCACATTCTTTGTGATTCCACTGACAACAAGAATGTAGAGGTTCCCATTGCAATTCAGTTTTTGCACTAATGTTTGCTCCTTTCTGTATTAAGTATTTTACTACTTCGATATTGTTACTGTAACAGGCTCTGTGTAATGGTGTGTATTTATCTTTGTCACTAATATTTATTAAATATGGATTTCTTTCAATTAGCTCCTTAACTTCTTCTAAATTTCCTTTTTCACAAGCATGTAAAATGTTATATTCTGTTTTATCTAAATAAAAATAATCACAAACGATTTACAAAAAAAAGAAATAGTCGATTATTATTACTTACCATTAGGGTTTCGTGTTTCATCGATATCTTTTAAATCATCTTCCCAGCCACTTACTGAAAACCTATCATCACTTACCATTTTAATGTCCTTGATTTCAATTTTGATTCACCAATTTTTTAAAACTTGACACTTCCTTTTTAGGTTATGTTATGGTTACATTATTGTGTTCTTCTTCTTCTACGATTACCCCAGCCACAATTTTTAAGGCTACACTGCACTACCAGGGGGCAGCACGGTCGACATCCTGTACACAGCTTTTTTTTGTCTACATAAATGCAATGTTTAGTTATAATGCTGCTAGTGACTGGTTTAATATAGTTTCATAAATAAAACTCAAAGATTTTTACTGAAATTTACTAATACAAGTCTTTAAACTAATTATTTTTCTCGGAAATATGATTTCGTGACAAAACTTCTTTTTCCAGTTGTAATCTTCAATTGTTTTACAATAGAAACTGCTGTTATTGAAAAGAATGTAAATTAATAGGTTATCAAAAAAAAAACTAAATCTGAATAAGGTTGATAGGTATGCAAAATTAATAACAAATAACATTAAATATCATTTAATAAATATTTTAGGATACATCTTCTGGTTCTTCCAAGTCTTTAAACAATTTTGCTTTCTTAATTTGCCTGATTTCGGGAGGAAACTCCATCAACCTTGTGGCTATATAAGCACCAAAGGCTTCTTCTGAAGTTTGATGGCGTACTATATTTATTGTACTCTGTTGATCTGTATCATCTTTAATTCTTGTTGAAATTTCTGACAGTTCAGCAGCCTCAAATGTGGCCTCTTCCATTTCACCAGAACCATCATCAAATTCTCCTTCAAGTAGTGTCATAGATTCAGGTGATAATTTAACAGTTATGGGATCCCATAATTTTACACTCGAAGTAGGAGATGGCGGATTTGAATTATCTTTTGCGGTAATTTGCATAAATGAGGGGCGTTTCCTTAAAAAATAAGATTCTAAATACACAAAATGTATAAATAAAATACCTATCTAAGTATCTATTAATGAAATATATCTATAAGGTATGTACAGGGTGTCCAGAAGTGAACAGGTCATACAATTATTTCTTTTTAACAATTAAAATGGGATTTCATAAACATCTCCATTTTCTCAAAATTAAAACATGGCAAAAAGGTCCGTAACTTTTTAAACAAAAGATAACTTGGATCTACATCAGATTATTTCCGCCCAAGAGTTATTCTTCAAATATGGCCCATTTGTTTCTGGACAACTGCGTACCGCAATGTAACTGTTCGCCTCCTTTTTATATAAGGGTTTAGAAATTCCATTGCATCATAAAATTCCCATTTTGATAAATTTTGACAGTCGCGAGGGTGACTTTTTAAAATCCTTTGTTCTCGAGTAAACTTATCTCTCAAATTTTTCCAAACTCGTAGACAATCTTCAACTGCAACAATTCCGGAATAACAATATATTTGTTTTTGAATATTTACATAAATCTACGTGTAATATTAACATTATAGAATTGCTGTCAAATAGTTAATGTTATAAGTATACTCACCGGGTACTTTAATAGTGCCAGCAATTCTTCTCCAAGTATTTTCCTTTAATATACCGTTTTTAAAGTGTTTGTGTGTATGGTCATATATATGAGGGAAATGTTGTACTAATCTTATTAACAAACCAACATCAACATCTAAAATTTCAGAAATCATTATAGGTACAAGGTGATTCATTAACAATGGGAAAGTCGAAAGCTGAAGATACTATTCGTGAAATGGTGACTATTGGCGCAAACATGCCTTATCCGAAAGTTGATAGTTTCGGAAATACAGGGTGCTGAAAGTTAAAATTTTAAATCGTTTTTTTGCGATTATTCTGAAAATATGTAGGTTAGGAACTTGAAAATTTGTGAAACTATATTTTTTTAGGCGATGAATAAGATGTGTGCTGTAATTTCAGCATTGCTAATAGAGGGCGCCACTTACGACCAATTTTACCGAAAATTTAGTTAATAACTTTTTACCCTGTATGTCTAACATGAAACTTGATTCAAAACCTGAAAGAGCAATCATTTTTCCATTAATTGTGTATTCTTGTTTCATTTCGGTATCTCGATCCGTTTCCGAGAAAAATCGATTTAACGAACACTATGTTTTGATAATACGAGAAATAAGCGAAACAAACCAAGTGTTTATTCGTGTTATTACAACAATTAACAATAAAAGAAAAGAAATTCGTCAGTGTTCGAAGAATCCACCATTGACATTTACACACTTTACACAACGTTTTCTGAGAGATCTTCGAGTTTGAAACAACATATTGGGATTGCGTTTGACTTCGTTGGCAGAGATTTGTATTCTTTACCACAACTCTTCACACGAACCAATAAATTCTTCCAAATAGAAAAATGAAGAGGATTGAAGTTCCGACTTCTGGGTGGCCAAGTAAAAATGCTTCCACGGCTTGAAGAAGTTCCACTTTATTTAAGAAGAGACATGTGGTTCATGCACGACGGAACTCCACCCGCAGTGCGTGCATATTTAAATGTAGTTTTTCCAAATCACTGGATTGGCCATGTAATCATTTTTGCTTGACCACCCAGAAGTCCGGACTTCAATCCTCTTGATTTTTCTTTTTGATCTTGAATGAATGATATAGTTTACAAAGAATCTATTGGTTCATGTGAAGAGTTGTGCCAAAGAATACGAATCGCTGCCAGCGAAGTCAGACGCAATCCCAATATGTTGTTTCGAATCTGAAGATATCTCAGAAAACGTTGTGTAAAGTGTATCAGTGTCAACAGTGGATTCTTCGAACATTGACATCAAATCATTATTACGAATTTCAATAATTTCAATTGTTTTATTATTAATTGTTGTAATAACACGAAGAAACACATGGTTTGTTTCGCTTTTAATTTCTCGTATTATCAAAACATAGTGTTCGTTAAATCGATTTTTCTCGAAAACGGATCGAGATATCGAAATGAAACAAGAATACACAATTAATGAAAAAATGATTGCTCTTTCAGGTTTTGAATCAAGTTTCATGTTAGACATACAGGGTAAAAAGTTATTAACTAAATTTTCGGTGAAATTGGTCGTAACTGGCGACCTCTATCAGCAATGCTGAAATTACAACACACATCTTATTCATCGCCTAAAAAAATATAGTTTCACAAATTTTCAAGTTCCTAACCTACATATTTTCAGAATAATCGCAAAAAAAACGATTTAAAATTTTAACTTTCAACATCCTGTATTTCCGAAACTATCAACTTTCGGATAAGGCATGTTTGCGCCAATGGTCACCATTTCACGTGTAGTATCTTCAGCTTTCGACTTTCCCATTGTTAATGAATCACTCTGTATGTATTTACCATTGTATCAAGTCCATAGTCAGAAAGGACCAGCACAGTAATCAAATATGTAAAATAATGCAGAAAAAAATAATGAAGGAGAAATATGGGGTTTTTATTTTGATAATTTCGGCGTCAGGTCTAACAAGTGAAAATAATTTTTTATTGTTATATACACGGATTTTGTCCACGATATACGACGTTAAGTTACACCACGAAACTATATCTCTTCAAACAAAATTAAATCTGGTGTTTTACAGACAAGAAATTGCACTATTAGTAAGACAATTATAGATCAAATAGATCCATCCAAGAGGCGTAACGCTAAACTAGAGCAACTTTCTTTAATTTTCGCATTGAAGCATCACGGAGAACATCTAAATATCAGAAAATGTACCTTTCCTGTTTTATCCAACAAATATGTAAAGATACTCAATAATTATTATGATTAATGCATGTGTTAATAGTTTCGTAAAAGCCCTGGTAGCAAAATCTTGCACAAGATACTTATACAAGACTGCTGTGTACCTACTGCTGAAACCTGCATCAGGTTTACTGCAAGATTCATTGTGCAATTGTCTTGATCAAAGCTTTCAATGGATTTGATTCAGGGCACTTGAGTACAAAGGGATAAATTAAAGCAAGTGACTATGTCTGCAACACGTTGACTTATACTAATTCACTCCTTTGGACTCAAGTACTTTTGGTTAAGTCTGGTACAAGTATTAATTTAGATACTTGTAAAAGTATCTTGCATAAGAAACGATATAAACTTCAGCAATAGACACAAAACAATCTGACACAATTTGACTATTTCAAGTAAACTTGAAACAACTTGTATTAGAATTGCACACGATTGTGTTACCAGGGAGCATTCCGCGGGGTGTGATTATATTTATAGTAACATACCGTATGCGATTTTCTGTATGTTCAACAGGCGTACAAAATTTAGGAAAAGTACCTAACATAAATACGAGGTAAAATTATGCTTTTTTCTTTATTTTGAATGTATTAATACTGTTGTCTAGATTCACTTCTTATTTGTGGAAGGGCGAAATGGGCGGTGACTATGAGACGCCTTCATTATAGCCATCTTTCTCTATCGCACGGATTTCTATGACTTACTTTATCGCTCTCACATAACGGCCGATGAACCATATGGGGACTTTCCGACCCTGTATATACCTACAACTGGTACAGTGAAGAGATATTGTTTCTAACTTGTCTAGATTTTCTAAAATTGTGCATATAAACGCCCCCCTTAAATCGGTTTGAGCCACAGATTTTCTAGTTGGTGTAAGTCTTTATTTATTTAAATATTATAATTAATTATAAATAAAATATTATTTTTTTGGGATTCCCATCCCCTTTTTAAATTGTGAATACGACACGAAATTCATTTTTAGAGATCTTTTGTCTCTTGTGAAATTTTTATATCTGCTATGGACTTGAGTAAAACACAAAATCTTCACCATTGACTGGACTGAAATATGGGGTGTCCGAAAATTTCTTTCTTTATTTAGAGGAGTGATAACGGTATTTCCGTCCAATCAACATGATTTATCCTGTATTACTCGAAATCCTTAGAATGAGTGATGAGGGAATTCTAAAAAATAATACCGTTTGTGTTTTCTTCACACCTATTTTAGTAACAATAAACAAATAAATACATATATGAACTAAGAAATATCTGGCTGAAGCCGTGGTACAACTTGAACTCATTGAACATCCTGTATTTCACAAACGGTTGAGTTCCTCACATATAGACACACATATAACTAGTCAATTTATTTTCATTTGTTCTACCTGCTTCCGAAGTTAGTTACTAAGATGAAAACTATTACACTCTGGATAAACAATAAATATTGCCGCCCTCTGCAAATTTTAGAGTATGGCACCTGGTCTTGGCTATGACACTGTACAGAATATTAAGATATCTAAAGTGCATATAAGATTTATACTCACCCAAAACATTTCTATCTTGACTTTCCATCTTGTATGTATATATATTTTTTTCTTTTTTTTTCAGATAGAAGCGTACTACAAATTAGAAATAAGCCTGCATGAAAATAAGTAAGTATAGCTATTAGTACAAACATATTTTTAAAAGGCCACAAAAGCGAAAAGTGGAAGAAATTTAAATTATTAGTGATTGGTAACCCAATTAATTATTTATTAATTTATTAGCACTTTAGCGAACGGGTTTTCAATTATTGAAGTTTGTCTATGTTTTAAAAGTAAATCTAGTTTGGTTGCCAAGGGTTATTGCTAAACAGTTGAAAGTTATATTAAATCACTTACATTTGGTTTTCGGCACAATCTTTTCGTGCGCCCACAAGCAATATTATTTTTCTCACGTCACACCCCCTGTACTAAAGAATCATTTACCCTCGTTTATGTAAATCACTCGCACTATCATTTAAATAAATTTTGAAATTTTGAACTGATTTAACATTCAACTGTTTTAACAGACTTCCAAGGTACACATATGGCTCGTCGTATATAGTACCTCTTATATTCGGTAATTTGTTCAACATTCAGATCACACAGAAAAAAAATCCTGTTCAAATTTCGCATATATGGATGAGGTTCTCAGTTCATAAACCCAGACAGCCCATATATTCTGAGAATATTCTCTAAACCTTGTAAAAAGATTATATATATTCTGAATAAACCTAGAATGTTCATAGAATGTTAATATGCTTATAAAATATTCGTAGAAGATCCCTTTTTAAATATACATATGATATTCTCCATATATATGCTAATAATAATATCTCAGGAATATTCTTCAACTAATATTCCTAATACATTCTCAATAGGATATACGTAGTTTAAAGAAACTGTAATTTTTATTTAATAGGCAATAAAACTGAATACCTATTCTAATTTAACAATTTGGAGGCCCTATTTAAATCGAATTTGCGCTTATTCCAATTTTATGCAAAAAGTTGAAAATTAATCAAAATATTATGTTGTTAATGTTGGTAGTACCTGTCGTATGTTTTGTATTTGTAGTTGCCAGTTGGTAATTCATTGCAGTTTATTAGAAAATGGTTAACAGTGTTAGTTTAACATGTTCTTGTCCATCAATACAATACATTATAATTTATACCGAGTAAAATTTAATCAATTTACAATAATAAGTGCTGCATAAACAATGAATTATTATTATTAAAGTATTTTGTATTTTGCACAAAGCAGGTTTAATGCTTTGTGGTGTTTGTTATGCTTAAGATTGATTAGAATTAGAAACTGTGACAAAATGGCAGAAAGAAGAAAGGAGACCTGGAGACCATATAAACTACAAAGTAAGTTTTCTTTAAGGCTATACTATTATTTGTTTAAATTAACGAAATGACAAGAAAACGAAATAAAATGTGGTATGTATTGGCAGTTTCATAGAGATTAATGAAGTTACAACAAAACTACCTTCATAAAATTCATTGGAAAATAACTCATCTAGTGGAAGTGTCGCTAAGCCTAAATCTTTGCAAAATTCCGTCCTAGAACTATCTCTTATAAAACCCAGAAATACATTAGTCCTAGTAACACTGAGATTGATACATTATTTGCTGAGATCTTAGTCAATCTCTCAGGGATATAGAACTGGCTTTAGTTATAAAATGAGCTTGGGCCAATCACTTCTTGTTTTCATTTTTTACACTTCTAACGTTTATTGTGGTGGAGAAAATAGGAATACATTTTCTACTAAAAGTTAAAGAAGTACGTTCAATTGAAAATAGTAATGATATCAAAAATGTAAAACCAAAGTGGAACCGTTTTATCTAGAAAGGATGAATATTATTAGTTCAAATTTTTTTCACATATTGACATACAGTCCAGCAAAAAGAAAATGCAAAAATATATATTTGTGTTTCAGAATTGGTAACCGAGAAGAAATAGACTGAGAGAGATGCCAGAAATGTTATTAGTGAAAAAAAATAAAATAAATAGTTAACGAATTTATTATTAAGAGTAGTTAATTACCCTCGTCCCGTATTTTATATTTTTAGCCATGAATATTAGTCTAATTAAATGGGCCTTTAAATCGCAATTTTGATCAACTTGCCTGAATTTTTTATATAAGTTAGTTTAAGGTATATAATAACAATTAAATGACAGTAATTTTTTTTTCAAATAAAAAATTCAGGCAAGTTGACCAAAATTACAATTTAAAGACCCATATAATTGGACTATATTCACAGTAAAGTTTAAAACAGGTTCATAGAACATTACTAACATGTTCAGAGAACTTACCCAGAAATATTAATATCTCTCATATTCAATTTCACATCTATAATATATTCTAGGTACATTCTTATAATAATCTGATTATTAAATATTGTACCAAGTATATTCGTGTAAGAATATTCTGATTTTAGATATTCTATATATATTCCTTGAATATTTGTGAATATCTACAGAATACTTCAAAATGTATATTCTAAGTTTATCTGAGATATTCCAATATGATGATTCTATGAATATTCTCAAAAGTATAAATATATTTAAAACAGATTCTAGGAATAATCAAATGTTCTAAATCGAATATACTTGGATTATTCTGGGAATATATATTGCTGTCTGGGAATAGACTTGTTTGGTCCTACAACAGTTCAGAATAGTTAATTGTCAATATGTCGTGGCTTAAATGTTCTTATGAATGGAATGGTCAACTAATTTGAACCGTCCTAGAACTGTTCTCTGTCGGAACCGAAATACCAGGTAGGAATGTACCGATGGTCTATCAGAAGTTACGTGAGAGCGATAAAGTAACCCACTAAACATTTTTCAGTTTCCGACATGTTTCAGAAACGTTTCCATTTTTCTTGAAACGTTTCCTAAAAAATCCATGCAACATTCTGGTAACGTTCTAGAAACCCAAGATGTCCTCCCCAAAATACGTTTCCAATGAAATGTTTCAAAAAATTGGTTTCAGTAACATTCTTTTTATGTTCCATTTATGCACTCGGTATTTTTGTTTTACGTTTCAGTATATTTTCAGAAATGTTTGAGTAACATAATAATTTTATTACCATATTGTTCTCATAATGCTCTCAACTTTAGATAAATTTCACTTCAAAAGCGTTTTTGAAATAGTATAAATAGTGTAATTTTTAAAATATTTCTAATACTCTTTTGTGATATTTTTATTTGTATTATGAATGACTTAATTCGAACTCCAGACAACTTCTCAAAAAATTTAACAAAAAAAGTTGTTACCTACATTGTATATTAAAAATAAATAAATAAATAAATATGCTCTTCTAGTTTGGGGATGCGGCAATTTTTACCAAGAATTTCTTTCTTTTTGAGAAGGCACTGAAAAAAGTTTCTAATATGGATTAACGAATTTTGCGATTGGTCATACAAATAAAAATGTCACAAAACAATATCAGAAGCATTTTAAAAAAGCTACACATCATTTTATATTGTTCAAATACGCTTCTAAAATGGAAATTTTCTAATGTTGAGACTATCGTGAATATGGTAACAATGACGAACTGATAATTAGAAAAAATTAATTATGATTATGAATCTTGAAATGGTAGGTACATGAAAAACAAATAACATTAAATACTGAAAAATAATATAAAGTTACAATTTCTTCTACGCATAGTCAATATTACATCTATCCTTTTAATAATAATAATAAATTATACAGCAGAAATAACGATACAAAATCATATCTTGACAAAATAAATATCTGTAAGTATACCTAAACTCTTTTATTTAAGCATGCCTATACACATAAACAAATATAAACATTTGTACAAAATATAAAATAAATGAAGTCAATTTCACTTGATTCATCCATATTTCAAATAGTTCTCACTAAGTAGTTGCTCATCAAATTATATCGAAACGTATAGTCCATATTCCATTTTCTTAGTTCTTGTCCCTTGTCCTCGTCTATAATAGGTAGTGGGTATAACTTTGTTTAGGTAGATGTGTCGCAAAATTGGAAATCTCTTTACACATATCGTTTTAAACATATTGCATTAATATTCATTATTTTATTTGCACCTTACAATAACCACAACTGCACACACTACAAATTATAAAAGTAAAAATGGAGAACAACGAATCAAGGCAAACTGGCAAACCGCAAACCTAACCTAACATAATACGAATTACGAATTGAAAACGACACACGGGATCACGGGAAACAAATAAACTCGGGCTATTACGCGCAGTCTACGGAAGTCACGAACATACATTTTTTCTAGACTTGTTCTTGTTATAAATATGCCAGCACAATTTTTTTTCTGTTTATGTCTGTATAACAAAGGCAAATGAACTAACGCTTGAGACTTGAGAGGGATTGGGGATTGGGAGCAAAATTTAACTAATGTCGAATGTTCCATAAGATAAGCAAAAAAAGCAAAGGGTTGTTCGTCTGTTATGTTTTCGAGATCGAAAGGGAATGTTTCGAGTAATGTTTCAAACTCTCTTCAATTGGAACGTTTCGGCTATGTTTCATTAAAGAAGTTTTCAAGTGCTACATTTCTGTAATGAAACAGAAACGTTTCTAGTAAGTGTTTCAAATGTTTAACAAAACATCTCATTTGCAACGTTTCATTTACGTTTCGTGTTTAGTGGGAAGCCATAGAAATCCATGCGATAGAGAAGGATGGCTATAATTAAGGCTTCTCTTAGTCACCGCCCGTTTCGCCCTTCCACAAATAAGATCCTGGAAGGGCGAAATGGGCGGTGACTATTAGACGCCTTCACTATACCCATCCTTGTCTATCAAATGGATTTCTATGGCTTACTTTATCGCTCTCACGTAACTTCAGATAGACCATCGGTACTTGCCTACCCGGTATATAATTCTGATTAGCATTCAACTGTTTTGACATATAGGTAGGTACTCTAATTCCATGACACAGGTGACGTGTCTTCCGCCTTTCAAATTCTATATTTTGCGCAATTTTTGAGATCGCGCAGATCGAAACAACAAGGTATAACTTTAGTGTATTTTTTATCGAAATTTTGCACAAGAGGCTTTTGTTTGAAAGGTACTGTACTGATTAATGTTAAGGTGTTAGTCATAAAATCGATAAATAGTAGGTATTGTTAAACTTCAGGGTATAAAAAAAATTAGGATGATCCAGGGATGATCTACATCTCCGCCTTAAAAGTGGTATTAGGGAGAAAGATAAGCAGTTTTTAATTATCTCTTATACAAATAAAAAGTTCGGGCAATTATTTAAGATAACAAAAGTTTATTTTCTAAATTTAGCTATAATATTTTTATAACTGGCAACTCTGTCTTTGTGCATTAATTAAAGTATCATTAATTTTCTAAGCATTATTTAAAGACTTAAGAATATTCCTATAAAAATAACATTTTCGTTTTTCTTTAATAGACATTAAAAAAATTTAAATAATGAAGCAAGTGCGAATAAAACCTACAGAGTTAACGCTTTCTGTATTATTTTTAAACAAGTATTACAAAAAAAGAACGTGTCTTTGAACATTGGACGGAGGTATGAAAACCAGTGCAATAACAAACACAAAAAGCAATACGCAATGCGATGCTGAATACTGTTACTGATACTGCAAACCAAACTGCAATGCAGTAACGCCAGTAACGTTACGTTTTCTTTAAAGTTTAAAGCTTTGACAACTTGGGGCAATTATAATTTTTTTTAATTGACACAATAACATTATAATTTACTTGAATACTTACCTCCTAAATATCTAAACTATTTTCAAACAGAAGGATTATTTTGATATTTTGTAGGTTATTAGTTGATTACGTTTATTCTTCAAGAAAGGCAAGAAGTAATTATATAACAGACTTTTAATTTTAATTTCACTTTGTGCATATGATATTGATTTCTAGGTAATCCTCATCAGGATAAGCATATTTCTGAATAGTGTTCATAATATGAATATCTGTACATGTACAAATTTGATACTTAATCTGATTGAAACATCGATATAAACGTGTTAACAATAAGAAATCGATCGTGTTCCATCCATACTATGCACTTCGTTTGTTTTCGTTTCGTTCAACGGTTTCTGTCGGTGTCGGTGTTGTTTCCGCACCGCAATCCGCAACCTTAAACTCAGTGGGGTTACCCCATACCACAGATTCCTGATCAAGATCTAGATCTTTATACATACTGATCTTGAGTCTTGTTGACCCCAATCCCCATACTATTATACCACAGCATAGAAAACTGTTTTCTGTGCTGTGATTATAAGTAGGTACTATAAATTATAGCATTTAATAGTCGCGTTTAACACTCAATTAGTTATTAATTCTGTGTTTGATCAATGTTTGTTTTCGTGGTTCTACCCATTGACTACCTGTCGCTTGCTTTTGTGGCTATCGCTTTTGCAGTAACCAGTAAAGTAAACAAAAACAAAGATCTTGAAATAAACCAGCACAACAAAGTACTCGGAAATAAAGATGGGCTAAACCTGTGGACCGAACCGCTCTTTTTGTGGAGCAGTAACCTGTAATTGCTCCGAACTCCGAACATAGAGTACTTCGAAGTGACAAATAGGTTCGATTTTTCGGAACAGCGCTTGGTTACGCGCGCAAATTCGTTTCAACTTACATCAGTTCCATCTCTTGTGGTATGTTGTATTACACAGTCATTAAAATGTTTTAGGTATATCAATACTAATTTAACATAAGTAGTAACTCGGTACAATAGACTAGAAAATTATTTGATAAAACATTGATTTTGTCTCCAAAGATACCTGCTAAATATAAGAAAGTACAAAATGGCATGTTTGCATGCCTCCAAAGTTATAAAAACCCAAAGTTAATTTAAGTTTATAACTACCTCACTTTTCAAAGGTACATAAATATACCGATGTGCTAGCATGTATTTGTTGAATTGTTTTTTATTATCAGATTTTACATTTTTAATTATGCAAATATATTATTAGAGAGTGACTGAAAAAAATTGGGGAATATGAGAGCCTGTTTTTTAGTTTTTTTTTTCTTAATGGAAGTTTACTTAGGAACTAATATATACTTACTTCTTTGGAGTAAACGGAAGGGAATGAAAGAATTAAATATTTTTGTACCATACAATTATACAAGTTTGTATATTACAGCAGGAAATTCCGTTTACTTCTACTTAACACGCCGAATTAAAATAATAGTATTTATTTTATTATTTACAAAACAAATAAATCAAAACAGCAATTCAGCTTCTAGGAAATATTATACCTTCTCTATCTTCCCGTTTCATTTTCCACTATCCTCTATTCGCTATCACCGAAGACCTCTTCAAATCAACACATTCTTGAAAAGCTTGAACGACTTTAGCGCATCTCATTGGTTCATTTGGATAATATTTGTAACATTCCATAACTGCTTTCTTCATATCCTGGCACGGAGGTTCACAATTCTTCGCTATTTTGTGAGAAGTTTGTTGAATTTCATCCACCTGCATAACAAGAACATCGGATCATATGGATGAATTAATAAAATTAAATTAAATGTACTTGAATACTAAAGAAACGCTAACTTTCAATTACATACATCTATATTCTTTTTTTATTTTGGGATTAACATAACTACATACTGCTTCAGAGAATTCCTTGTCCATTATTTCATTTATCTTCTTGTGATTACTCTCTAATGTTTTAATTCTATTTTGCCAATATTCATCATTGTTCTTTAATTCCGCTACGTGGGCCTGTCGAAGTTGAAGAGAGGTTAAACTAGGTTCATTTAAAAATAATAATGGTGCAGTCACGAACGGTCCACCTGCTGGAGGAGCAACCACACTAGGATTCTGTTGTACCTCTTGTCTTACCACTATAAAAATAATAAAAATATATTATGTAACTCGTGAATATAAAATCGAAAATATTAAATTTAAATTATTTAAAACGTATTTCTGAATAGTCCTTAATATTTAGAAAACATTTTTTTAATTTGAAATCGTTGAGATACTTTTTACCTCATTTAAAAATATTAGTAGGATTCTTATAACCAATATAACCTTACTTTGGCTTCCTCTAATACGGTCAACAACACCTTCAGATACTTTTATCACACTTGTAGGATCTTCATTTTCTACAGTTAATTTCCTCGTTTTACTTGTAGCACCACCCATTTTAATTTGTTTTTACTTGATTAATATCCGAAATCCACTACCTATTTACTTGTTTTACTGTCATTTGCCCATGCCAAACCTTTTTTCACGAGACCACCGACATCGAAAACCCACGCTCTAAAGGAAAAGTTTGATGTGTGGTGCATGGTCTCAAAACCATAGAAATATAAACCAAGCGCCGCGCCGCGCCATTATTCTATGGCAAGAAATTGGCCTCAATGATTTGGGATCGAGGGGGATTATCCCTCTTTATCCTGCCTCATCTCGTGTAGGCCTGGACAGCCTTCGTAGGTGGGCCCCATNAGGGAAAACCGATAAGAACCCTTTGGACCGAAAAAGGCTGGTCGGAACCGGACCCAAATATCAGCTAGTGGACCGTAACCGAACCGAAACCGAAATGGTGCATTTCTAACCGAACCGTAACCGGACCGGTACCGTTATTACATTAAGGTCCGGGTCCCTGTGTACCTACTGGTCAAAATTCATTACATGCTTCAGTTTTTGAATCCATCAACTTGAAACTTCGTGAAGCTTGCTCAGTCTTAGAGACAAAATCACACACTGCCCCCCTGATATCTCCGAAACTATCCATAGGATCACGTTGGGCCAGTGACAACTTTTCATCAGAATGTCGAGAACTATAACATATCACAATTCCAGACAAATCTAGCGGGACCCAATTTCCATTCATTTTGTGCGGGGTCATTTATTATTTTATGTTAAAAGGAGCGTGGTACAAGTTACAATTTTAAATTTGCCTCTTATTTTCTTATGGGATATGCAATGAGTCAGAAAGAGATGACGGTTGAACGAAGATAAACTGAGGAATTTGGTGACGTATTTGTTTTTTATTGGCTGATTGACTTATGCGGCGACCGTCTCTTTACGGACCGTGGCCATGCGTAAGGCTATGTTTTCCACAGCCTGAAGTGATTTAATGTGGCTTTTTGCCGTAGGTTAGCTGCGGTTGAACTACCACCACCACCTCGATTGGTATTCACTATTCACTTATTCGCTCGGGCGAATTCCACGTAAGTCGCCGGTCCATCGTCACGCCCAGGTATCGCGTATGTCGGCCCCAGGAAATAGGTTCCTGGGACATTGTCAGTATATCTAGGTCGGGGGAATTTTGCGTCTAGTAAAGAGTATGGCAGTACTTTTGTTGGGGTTAATTTTGACTTTCCACTTGTTGCACCTGGTTTTAAGTTGGTTTAGTGTTCTGTAAGTGTGTGGTAACGTGTGTTACGTTAATGGATTGTGCTATTATGGTCAGGTCGTTAGCGTATAGGTCAGTGGCGGCTCCTCAGGTGATACAACTGACGCACCGCTACACCTACAATTTAATTTAAAATTATTTTTAATTTTATATAAATTTTATAATTTAGGTATAATTCTATACCTATTGAAAATGTATTGTGTTTGTTTATTTAATACGCAGAAATAAACAGCATAGTTGCGCGGTGAACGTCTTCTAAAAAAACATTGCCTTCGTTGAGAGCGAACATCAACCTCATACCGTACCACGGTCCGTAAAAAAGGCGGTCGAGCAATAAACAGAAATTATGGGCGTGGATTATCTCATACTACGTCACAAGATGTCTAACCTTTAGAATTCATGTTTGTTTACATGCGACTTGACTAGTAATTTTGCATTTTTTCAAATATTTTAGTAAATCATAGTTTGGATATTTTGCAGTAATTAGTTAGTTATTGATAATAGTTTTTAATAAGTTGATGGTGTAGTGTTTAATATAAACTGTTAATTTACCACGTAATAATGCCAGGAGTGAGGTGTAGTGTTGTAATTGGCAATACTAATTTTTATTAGTGCTAAACAAGACAATTTAAAAACTTTATTTAATGTTTTTCCTATGTATAAAAGGCTTAGAAAGATATGGGTGGAACGGTGCAAAAGACGCGATTTGTTTAATCACATAACTGGACATATTTGTACTACACATTTTGAAAACTCAAACTTTGAACGCGATCTTCAAGCAGAGCTATTAAGTTTATCATCAAGAAAAAGACTTAAAGAAAACAAGTTATATGTTAAATTTCTAATTTAACTGATTGTATTCACTTCAAAAGGACTAAATTTATTGTTATTGGTGTATAACAAATTGATGTGTGATTGTTAGAAGAGCGATTGGAAACTTTAAGTATCTATCGAAATGTGATTTTAATATTTTTGTAAACTTGACAATTTCTCTTAAAATTAAATGTTATATCAAAAGTTCTGTGCGAATAACTTTTCCTCTTCTTCCTTTTCTTTTATTCCTCCATTTAACTCCGAACACCGAAAAAAACTCTTTCAAGACTAAAAACTACTGTATGATAACTAAACAAACAAAAATAATTATGTTGCAGCAGTCTAATATAAAGTACTTTGGTAAGTTGTTTGAAATTTAACTAAAGACAAAAGCAGATACAATAAGGTCATATAAATTGTACACAATTTTTATTTTGGAGCCAAGAGAATATTAAGATAAGTCTAAATTGTTTATATATTCCCTTCCCCTCTTCATTTTATCAGAGATTATGGATATTAATAGATATCTGTAATAAAATTAACACAAATTTTAGGTTAATTATGTAACCAAACGTCAAAATTGGTGACCGATCGTGGTGTGTATTCAAGACAATTTCACATTTCATCCTTTCATTTCCAAATTCTGATGTAGAGGTTCAGTTTGTATACAGGGTGTTCCTAAATAAGTGCCGCAACGGAAAACTGTAAATTCCTCTTGAAAAAAGAAACATTCTTTTCCTCTTCCATTTCTCTCTCCCGCCTTTCGTTTTCGAGATACACGGTGTCAAAACTTTAATTTTTTTTTTAAATTTTTTGCCAATATCTTATTAACCGTTTGAACTACAGGACTGAGTTTTTGTACACGCATTACCACTATTAATAGCTACTTTTTCGCACCCTTCTCGAATTCATTGAACGTGGTGGAGATTTTAAGATATCGTAAGGGTTTTTACCCCTAACTTTTACGCCACTGGAAAAATTAACATTTGATAGCAAATTCTGAAGCGCCGATGAATTTTACACAAAAAGAGTTCTCTTTGTTCATTGCTCTAAAGTCAACCGTTTTCAAGAAAAATTACTTTTTATGAACAAAAACAAACATTTTGCTAACGTTTCGAAAATCTTTTGTAATTCAAAAAATAGGTAGTAATAATTAACAATTTTAACGAAATTTAACAACAGATAGGATTTTAACTTTTTTTTATCAATTTGGCGAGTAAAATTTACAGAAACTGTTCAAAATTACGTCCGTTGGCTTGAATGCACGCATTACATCTTCTAATCATGTTTCTTTCTGCCGTTGCGGTTTCACCTCTATCGGTCAACTTTTCGATAGTATTGACATGGATTTCATAAACGATGCATTTCGTTCTCCGGATGTTCTGTTCAGTTACTTGCACTTGCAAAATGTTCAAAATGCAAAATGCAAAATGT